CGATTTTGTAAGGGTTGCGAGTCTGTCAATGACGAGGAGCGGTCTGGACATCCTTCCACCTCAAAAACCCGAGAGAATGTCGAAAGAGTGAGCAAAATGATTCGGTCGAACAAGCGGTTGACTATTCGGAAAATTTCTGAGGATCTGAACATCTCATATGGTATCGTACAAAGCATTTTAACGACAGATTTGAACATGAGGCGAGTGAGTCCGAAATGTATGCATCCACAGCCACAGGAGCTGGAGTTAGAGCAGTAAATCAGTGCCTGTGGTGACAGGGTGGTGTGTCCCTTTCATTTAACTCTACTGAGGTAGGTGTTATTCTGTTGGTGGCCACCACAAGAGATGGTTAGGAGGGAACTGGGGCTCCCAGGCCTCCCACTATGTGTGAGTCACTGGACACGAGGAACCTCCTAAGTGTAACTTTGTAGCTATGTCAGTAATGTGATGCCTTGACATTTAATGTCTCCTTATAGCAGTAAAAAATATTTACATACATTAGTCCAATTTGGGGGAAGCAAAACCAGAGCTGTTAAGAATATAAGCTCTTATATTTTGGATGTTAGTCCTCTGTCTGAGGAATAACTGGCAAATATTTTGTCTCTTCATTCTGTTGGTTGTTTCCTTTCCTGTACATAAGCTTTTTAATTTGATCTAATCTCATTTGTTGATTCTTGATATTATTTCTTGCTCCATTGGGATTCTGTTCAGAAAATCCTTGCCTATGCCTATGTCTTCAAGACATTGTACTTATTTTATCTTCTATCAGATTAAACGTTTCCAGTTTAACATTTAGATCTTTCATCCTCTTTGACTTTAGATTAGTACATACTGAGGTATATAGGCCCTACTCAATTTTCTGGATATATATATCCTCCAGTGTACAGTTTTGCCCCTTCATAAAAGGTAAAATAGCTGGCTGCTTCTGAGGTTGTTTATTTCTTTTGTTCTGTTCCATTGATCCACATAACTCTTTTTCTGCCAATACCAAAATATATGAAGAGCACAAGAAAATCAGACTCTCAAATGAAAAGACTCAATCAAATAATGGGCAACCAAAAGGGATAAATAATTTTCAGAAGTATAAATGGCCAATACATACATGAAAAAATGGTCAACATTACTGGCTATTACAGAGATGCAATCATGCTTATACCTGGTAATCTGAGCAAATACT